CCGCCAGTCAGCGCTGGCAGATCGGAGCGGGGAGAGGGGAATCCAGCCCTCCCCCTGTCACGGCAGAGAGCCGTGACAGGGTCGAGAGGTGAGCGAACCCGGTATGTGTTCGCTCACCTCCCGATCTACTGAGCCGACCTGTGACAGTCTCATTGTCACAGGTCGGCTAGAACTATGAGGTGACTGAAAAGCACTCACCTCATAGTTCTCCTTTAACATCAGCCCACCACTCACTAACGCATTTATTTTGTATGCACTGACAATGCTGCACTTGCTCTTTGGCAATAGGTTACAGCCTCTACCACAATGCATAAAGCAATAAATATAAATACAACTAGTCAGACAAAGGATATCAATCTCACTGTACCTAAAGACAAATTATTTTTTTAAGGCCCATTTACACCAGAAGCCATGTTATACCGAACTGACAATCTAACAATATTAAGTGAAGTAACAACTGTCTTCTCTAGTAGGGTCAAGTTAAAAGGATGTGCTTTGGCACTTGATAGGACAGCTAACATTTTCAGGTGGAGTTGTTCAGGCTCGTTCAATATGTGGTTGTTATGAACGATTCTCTGTGTGAAATCCACAACAGGAACACATTGGTGTGCTCTTGGCTATATATTCCTTCTAAAGCTGGCCATACACCTATAGATTATCTTCAGATTTTCTCTGGTCAGATGGAAAAAGTGCAACAGATTCCTCCATCTACACTAAACTGTGTGGCTGGAGGAATCTCCCACTGGGCCAAGCTTCAGTATCTTGCTGGCCCGGCCCCGCTGGCTGTCAAAATACCTGAACAATCTGATTGGATGCAGGCATTGTTCAAGTATTTTGAGAGCCAGCAGGGCCGACTAGCAACATACTGTAGCTTGACCCAGTGGGAGATTCCTCCAGCCACACAGTTTAGATTAGATGGAGGAATCTGTTGCACTTTTTCCATGTGACCATAGAAAATCTACAGATAATCTATAGGTGTATGGCCAGCATAAAACTGAGTAAGCCCCACTTGTCCTCATTTCTCTGGGGTGTTCTACTATCATTCGTTCTGCAGGGCTGCCTCCCCCTGCTCTAGAGGGTATAGTTGGTAACATGTAGTCACCCAGCCAGAGAAAATTTGCTGTGTAGAACACAAACAGCATGCCACATGCAGGCATTACTCTTCCAATCAAAATCTATTAGCAGAGGGAGAGGAACTGATGCCATCCTCCATTGTATAATTTAAGCAAAGGTGGCACAGAAAGTGGAAGAATAAGTTTCTATTTTGTTGCAGAACTACTACTACTAGCCATAGGACTTGTGTTTATTGCCCGATATACCAAATATAGAATATTTATAAGTAACATCGATTAGAGGTAAAGATTGCTGAAGATAGAAAAACATTTTCTTCCTAAATAGAAATTGTTTTAAAACGATCCATTATCCACAGACAATCAGTGATGTGTACAAATTCATGTGACCTTGCCCTAAATCATGCTTTGTTTAATTTCTATTCAACAGCAAAGCACACATTCACATAGTTTGTTGCAAGCATAAAGCACAGCTATATACAAAATTATATGAATTGCACTTTTATATGAATTGCACTTTTCTATGCTATTCTAATACTTCTATCCTAATATTTATATTTTTGGTAATGCTGCTTATGTTGCCATGGCAATATATCAACAATAACAAATTGTGCCAGATCTCATACAGCTTATACCCAAGAGCAGGTTCGGATGTCATCAGTGGGCCAGCTGCAAACGCCAAAGAAGCCAGCCACCAATGAAAACTACTGGTTAAAATAATGTGGGTTTAGGGCTCATTAACACCATCGCGATGCAATAATTGCTTTGTGCGATTAACGCACCCTGCCGCTCAATGCACCTGCCATGCATTAACAGTGCATGAGGTGCATTTCCATTCATTGGAATTAGGGATGCACCGAAATTTCGGCTGCCGAAACATATCAGATGAAAATGGCGCTTTTGGCAAACAGTGCAGCATCCAGCGTGAAAGAGAGAAACTGTCATAGGAGGTCAAGTAGTGCGGGTGAGGAGAATGCTGTAAGTGGCTGGTGTCTCTTCTCCTGCACCGCTCAGCCTCCTGTGATAGACTAGAAGAGTGGTGTGGGGAGGGTGACAGCTGTCAATGTTATGACCGGAGACTGAGCTCTCCTCCCATCCCAATCAGCCTCCTGTGACAGTTCAGGAGAACGGCGCTGAGGGGGGCGGAGACAGCTGTCAGAGGAGATGGAGCTCTCCGCACCGCTCGCTCAGCCTCCCGTGACAGCTAGTCAGGATAGAGAGCAGGTACAAGCACTCAGCGATCGCTGAATGTTTGTAAATAATTGAGGACAGAGTATGTTTCCCCAATTAAGAATGAATGGGAAGTGATTTACATCACTTCCTGTTCATTCATGATTGTGGACATGGTAAACATACTATCTCCACAATGTATGAATGGACAGGAATATTCAGTATAGAGGATTCCTGTTCATTTATAACAGGGGCTGCAAAAAAAGAAATTGAGGACTCAATCTCTTTTTTATTTTAAAAAGGAAATATCAGTGATCTGTTTACACTCCCAATATTTACCCGAAGCCCCAACAGTAAAGTAAAACAAATTTAACAAAAAATAAATATGTGATGTGGTACTGTGTGTTGCGTGTGCCATTCAAATGAATTGCAAGACACCTCCTGCACTGTTAACGCATGGTATGGGTGTTGAGCGGTAGGGTGCATTAATCGCACGGTGCCGTGTGAACAAGGCATTCTATCAAGAACCAGAGAATTAGCACACAGGAACAGACAAACCAACGAGGCAAAAAATGATGTTCAGAATGTATTTATTTGGCTATAGTAAGTTCATTAGTCCTGGCAGTTACATATGGCGAGGGGAAGGTCCGATTTAAGACTCATGCAAGCAGGAAGCTTAGCCCTTATAAAGTAATATTTGCCCCCAACCAGGACTGGTGCTACATACAGCCAGCGACGTATTTACATTTCCTGCTGCCCTAGGCATGACAGCAGCGTCGCCCCTCCTTACCCCCGTCCGTCTGACATTCCGCCGAGTGACCGTCAGCACCACCCCCCCTCCCCCCCCACCCCCGGCGGAGACATACATTA